GACAAGGTTATTGCTTGATAGATAGCACAAAAGGTCTTTAAGAATGCCGGACAGCCATACCAGGATTTTCTTCTCCTCTGATCTGAAATGCTGAGCCACAGAGCCCTGAGAGAGAGATCAATGAGCAAAGCTCCATTTGGCAGAGCTATAGACGCTGAATATTGGAAGGGGTATTAAAAGAAGCATCTAGGCTACATGTTATAAACAAACAAAGCATCTGAAGCTACCTCAGCTCTAAATGAATGGACCTAGCATGACAGGATAATGTTTTATAGCTGCTAGAAAGCAAGTCTGAATGCTATCCAAGAGGCAAATAGGAATGATCTAGAGTCCAGGGGAGGATTAGATAGTCTTTGTGCTCAGCAAATTAAATGTAACACCTTCAATTTAAGCTAGTGTTTGAAGTCTTGAAGTTCGAAGCCTTATTCTTCAGGAATAAGGCTTAATGGAGAAAACTGGTAGGCAAACAGACTGACAGAGGTGTGTAAATTGAATTAATTTAGTATTAAATTTTAGTATTAAATACAGCCTAGGATAAGCCTATAAATTACAGGCCTTGCAAGACTGGCTGAAGGGAGCTGCATTTTTCATGCTTTGCTACTGGATACACTGGTTACAGGAAAAAAAGATTTTTATTGGAGGGGTAGAAAGGTCTCATAGCTTACCCAGAACTTTTAGGAAAGAAAAGTTTGTCCCAGGGAGGAAAGCATGCATGATGTTCTTCAGACATCTTTATGCAGGATGCAGAAATGTTTTTCCACCCGGAAGCAGAGGAGATTGCTGCTAACTATATCCTGGTGAGTTTGACAGAGCCTGAATTACAGGGAGGGAATAAAATAGTCCAAGCTGTGGTGTTTAATGGAACAATTCACTGCTGAGCCACACAGAAGGTACGCCTTGCATTTAAGATTGTAAGTGGTTCTGGTAAAGGATTTCCTACTTCTCAGTAACATGCCTTGTTTAGATTTAAAGAGATTATCAAGGCAGCATGTGGGCTATCAAATTTAGTGACACTGAATGATGAAAGACACAGCTGTGACTTGAGGAGAAAAAGTCTGGAAAAAATAAGAGGTTAATCAACAGATGAGTCTGCAGGTGAAGACTCATAAGTGGTGTACATACTCTGTGTAAAATATGTAATATACACATGCACACATTTGAAATTCAACCTTATGTATTAAGAGGCAATTCTCTGGAGGAAAATGACAAAAAGGAGGCGGTTGGGAGACAGTGGAGGCCAGCACTTAAGAATCAATTCAATTGATTCTTATTACCCTAAGGATTGTCCTAGGCCCAAATTAAGTATGAAGTTCTTTGTTCTGCAAGCGGTTGAGTGGGTTACCATGAGGCATTCTGTGTTATTCTATTTCTAGGAATATAAAGTATGAATCTACCATGTGTGCAAAGGCCAGTGTGATCTGTGGCTGGTAGACTTACCTGTGAGTCAAGTGAAATGCTGATGTCCAGGAGCTCCTCACTCCTGCCATCACTGTATCCAGTCTCACTGCTGGATTAGATTCCTCTATGTTCTTTAATTTAGCTCCTTGCCTGGGCGAGAAGATACAACGCAACAAATTTCAGATGTGGGCTCTTGCCAAGAGGAGGAGTCTCTGTCAGTACACACTCACCAGAGAAAAAAAAATTTGAAGGATAGGAAAATCCTTTGTATCAGAAGAAGAAGTAGAAAATCTTTAGAAAACCTGCCTTGAAAAGGATGGCGTTTCAGCAAGAGCACTGCGGAAAATCCTGACAGGATGGTTATAATCATTCCCCTAATGCCATTCCTAAAGAAACAACTGAGTTAAATCTCTGCAATCTTTGCTTAAGAGGGACAGCTTTGAATCTATTCAGAAATTTTGCCATTTTGAAAGTCTATAGCTCAACATGAGGCTTAATCAAGACAGTTAAAATATAAAACTGAAAGAAAAGGAAGTATTTGCCTGTTGATGTTAAGAGGTGGCATTTAATCTTGGACTTAAGACAATATTGATCTCTCAGAGGCCTTTCAGTTCCGGCATTTCTGTAACATCCGGAAGTAACTGCTTGGTAACTTGCAAACTTTTGCAGAGGTTTGGGACAGAATCGGGAATTGTGCAGGAATTGTGGCCGCTTCTCCTCAGGATAATGGTTTCCTCCTTGACCCTGCATGACTTGGCTTCGGGATTGTGTCACCAATACATGTTCTCTGTTTTATTTTTCTTTCCAGACTAGTACGGCAGATAACTTCACCAGTTGTGAGGAGGAAGTGGAAGAGGATGACACTTACGTCCTTATGTTGGGCTCCGATACTGAACCAGCCAGTTGTAAGTCACACTGTGAGACAGCTTTGTAGGTGTTGGCTGTGTTAAGTAAGAAATAAAGAAATCTGGAGACTCTGTGGGGTTAAATACAAATGGTATGGCCAAATAATTTGAATGCTTTCCATCTCCACATTTTGCCCCATCTTCTGAGGTGAAGAGATTTATATACTGCCTAGTTGTGATAATACAGTCATGGCTCTGTAAAATAGACCTCAGTGTAAGCGCAGCTCCAGGAAAGATCTGGAAATGGAGGGTATCTGCTAGTGATCTGGCAGACGATCAAGCCTGCAGAGGTGGCCAGCTCCTGTGCGGGGGCGAGAAGGTTTAATGAAGAGCAGCCTGCTCTTCATACGTCTAGGCATAGGTTCATGTCGAGCCTGGTGCTAATGCATTTGGTCATCTGAATTCCCTTTGAAAGCTGCTGCTTATTTTGTTTGCACTCATGGCTGTTTCTTACAGCTACATATATCTTACAGTATCACATATCTATAAAACAAGGCTAAACTTTATCTTGTTTTTATTTTATCTGTTTGTTGTCAAGTTTATCTTTCTAACTGTATCATGTGCAGTATGAACAGTGGAGAAAGAAAGGCCTTTCCAAAGCAGAGCTCCGAGTGGAAAACCTACCTCAAGGGCTGTGTATTGCCAGCTACATGTAGGCTAGAAGGCTGCTGAAGGAGCTGTATAGTTTTTCTGTTATGCTGCTTAGGTTGGCTACCCAAAGCTTGATGCTCTACATAGTGGTGAGACTTTACGCTTGTGCATCCATCTGTTGTGTTCTTGTTCTGTGTCCATGGGTCGCTAAAGACATAAGGGCTCAGTTTCCCTGGGAAAGTGGAGTTCTTCTCCCGAGGGCAATGTTTATTTCATTTTAGAGATTTAAACAAGCAGCCAGCCTCCACAGGGTATTAAAAGCAAGTTGCACAGCTGTGTGAGCTATGGCTTTATTTTGCTAACTGCTATGCGGGGCTGCACTGAAAATCAAGTAATACGAATTACAGAGCAAGGTAAGTGTGTGTGATTCTGTTTGACAATAACTCAAAAAAGTTTAACATATTGCATGCACAAAGATGTTGCGTGCCAGAGTAGCAATATAGAATAAAAACTTCCACGGTTGATCTGGTAAATATTTTAAAAGCTGTTCACTGACAATGTATATTTGACAGCTTTCCTACTGTATTAGTTCATAAAAGTTTTATTAGCCATTGTGTTACTTCTGTGGAAAACCTTGAAACAGGAAACATTTCCAGATGGCAATTTTAAATGAAATAATGCATTCTTTAGTATTAAAAGCCAAGCAGAGCCCAGGGGATCAGCGTGGAGTTGGATCGAGATGCCAAAGAAAAGCTGAGGTGGATGAAGAAAAGAAAGATGATGCAGAAGATAACGGAGAAGACACAAAGATAGAACATGAAGATAAAGTAGAGGGAGGTTCACAGAGCTGTGACAACAATTCTGACAGTTTGTACGCCAACATATGTGATCAGGATCCTGGAGAGAGCCTAAGACGCTCTTTTTTCTGTAAAAGGCCACCCCTTCTTCCCCGTCGAAATCTGGCTGGCCCCGTCAGACAGGATGATCTGCACAATTTTTCACAAGGTAAGATCTTGAGAGGGAAAGAAACCCAAATACAAGCATATGCACAGCTGCGGTCAGATGCTGCTGTAGATTGTGTACAGTGAGTGCTAATCGTAGCAGCCAGACAGTATGGCCCTAATTGTGTAAGGTGAGGATGTGCCTGTCCGTTACGCTCCGTCAGGAGCATCCTGACCCAGATTGATGGCTGATACTGCGCTGTGGAGTGCAGGGCTCTGCCTTCAGATCTTCTTCCTTCTGCCCATCTCAGAGAACTGTCAAATGATACATGATGTTTTGGAGTTGCAACAGAGATTTTAAAATATTGAGTGTGTATTTTTGTCAAGTTAACTTTAACTAGCTGCCATTTAAAGATGAGAAATATGGTTTTGAATACAGTTTGGAATTTCACTGGTAGAATTAATAGAAGGTGACTGTGGGAGAAATAAGAGTATTTTACTAGGCTTAATCAAAGTTGTGGTTATAAATATGACACTATATTGTGCTGTACATTGAGGAGGGGGAGAAATCGTGATCTTTAATGAAATGCTGTGTAATGAAATGTAAAATTAAACATTGTAGTTTGATTCAAGCATGAAAAGACTAAAATACTGGTGGCATCTGTTTTGGAAGGGTTCACTTCAGAACCCTTTTATAAGAAAGACTTCAAGCTAAATACCAGTCTTAAATAGTCAAGGGAAAAAAAAATGTGATTGACACTGGATATGGACACTTGATAAGTACGCACAAATCACTTGTGAGTTTACTCCAAACTGTTATTTTTATTAACTGCTTATTACTGTTTTTAAATGTGGCATAACCTATCAGAGGCCTAAATTAACCATCTCCAAGCACTTCTGGCATTCACGTAAGTACCCAGAAAGAGCTTTCTAGCCCTATAGCCTGCTTCGGGCTACAAGCTGGTTACAAGTAGTTTCTAAAAGAAAGGAAGAATGATCTGAAAATAAAAACTGGGTTTATTTCCCATGAAATATTCAAAGGTTAATATTTAAATGCATAAATGAGGGGGGCAGGGTTTGCATACAGGATTTATTAGTATAGGCTTGGTAGAAATGTCTGTACATCTGTACATGGATACCAGCAGAGAAGGTTCCTCTGCTTTGCTGGATTTTGTGCTGAGTGCAAGGGTAGTGCAGAGCTCATCTGAAAAAGCTGCTGTTTGAATGGTTCATTTGAGAGAGGCTCTGCTTTTCCTGAAGCGTTCACTTTAGTTCATCATTTCAGCCCTAGTGGTGGGGAGAAAATATCAGGAATTCTCTAAATTGGGATGATAGTTGCTTTTCAAAGCCGAGCTGTAATGAGTCATTGCTACATATTTTTAGTCAGCCACTTAGTGAGGATGTTGCTGTGGAATACCTAAGAGGCAAGGCAGAGTTCAGCCCTCTTGAAGCATCTTCCTTTTGGCAGTGGCATGACAGTGCCCCCTGGGGGAGTTAAAAGAAAAGAAAAATCCTATAAAGAAAACTTAGAATGTCACAGAAGCAAAATATTTTTCATATTAGATAAGGCAGATGGCTTCATCACATGTGTGTTTTTTTTTTTTTTGAAACATTTTATATCTTAGCCAGAATACATACTAGTAAGGTATGTCATTTATAAATTACATGTGTATTGCACTTAGAAAGATCATTAAGCGCTTTGAACCCGTAAACAGATTGGACTATGCCGTGTTTGAGATAGAGGGAGTACAGAAGAAGCAGTGACTCAAGTTATTTGGCTGTGGGGGTTTGGATGTTCATAGTATAGGTTACAAGAGGTCATAAATTTCTAATACATTGTAAGGGGCTTAAGGGGTTTTTTTGATATATATTTTTTTCCATCTTTTCATGGAGTACATCTTGGTCAAACCCGCAAAAATGGGACACTGAAGATGTTGGAAAGATAAAACCCAATGTTTTCTAAAAATAGGTTTGAATTCCTAAGTCGTGGTCCCTTTCCAAAATGTCAAGGGCACAAGTGCCACTTAATTTGCTTGAATGTCCGGCAGGAGCAAATAGGGGAATATCCAGTATTGCTCTTAAATAAGGTCATTTATTTGGGGGTGAGTACATAACCATGCAGTTTTGATAATTTGAGGTGAAATCATGAAGAGGCCCTGAAATTGAAGTGTTCCTTTGGAAAATCCTCTCTGTGGCCTTCAGAACTTCTGAAAATCAGAGCACTTCAGTGAAATTAGGACTCCAACTTACACAAGAAAAATCTAGAACAGTAATTTAGCCTTACTGTCCTTTCTTAACCTGTATAGCAATACCTTTCCTTTTCAGAGAGGAAATTGGTGGAAGACAGAAGTGAAAGAGATCATGGTGACAGAGACTTAGCAACATGCCACGGAGGAGACCAAGATACGTGTGAGGAAGAGGAGGAGGAAGACCCGTACAGTTCTGCGAGGCTGGACGAGTGCGTGTACGATATGATCCTGGCTGAGGAGGAGAGGAGGGCAGAGTGCAGGTCGTTCATTGTGAACAGGCCTCCGGCTCCCACCCCTCGCCCTGTGTGCTGGCCGTGCAGAGAGGAGAACACTCCCTACATAGTACAAGGTTAGTGGTGCTTCTTTGCAAATATTTACTGGTAGAGGAGGGGTGTCTGCATTCTATTTGTTGAACAGTATTTCCTTAAAAGATAGTTATTTGTTCAGTAACTTTCAAACCAACCAAGTGGTTGATTCAGTCAACCTATTTTCACCTTTATGCATGGAAAACCTCTCTCACTAATGCTAATTTTCATTTTCCATTTAAGAATCACTTTTTTAGTTTAATTTTGTAAGAATTATGACCATATGACTGAATGTTGGACAGCTGTGAGTGTTCTTTTAGCAACGTGATGCAGAATATGCTGTTTGAGTCGCCTGTCCTTTGTGCGCCTCTTCATCAAACACTGTCACTCATGGCTAGATCCCCATGTGCTTTGGGAGTTCACAGAAAGAATGAGCTTGTTCTCCACTCGCAGGGGCTGTTGTAGTAGTGCTGTGCTGAGGTGCAAGGAGAGCATTTCTTGTTGCCCTATCTGTGCCCACAGAAGTGAGGGAAATATCTGGGCTCATTTATCAGCCAAAATGCAGTAAGCGTAGTATGGTGGAAATGCCTGCCTACCTCCTGGATTGCTTCTTGGGGCCGTCTTCTGAATTTGTTTCCTCTCAACTGGTTCCACACAGTTGATCCAATTCCTGTAGCCACTTTCAGTACACACTGAAGTCAATGAAGCCACAACAGCCTGTCTTCTGCTTGAGGCAAAAGTGGTGGAGTTTGTGAGGGTGCTCTACTGGATGCCACTAAAGATACAGAATCTTCAGCATACAGTGAACATGTCTGCTGTTTTATTTAGAGCATTGCAGGAATTCTGCCTTATGTGAGAAAGGCTCAGCAAGCGACTGAGTTTCAAATTGGTGCCAGGTAGCTTATGGTCCAGATGGTGTGCACCCTGTGTGCTCCCTTTCCATTCCTGAAGTGCTTAGTATTCTTTTGTAGTTTTTTCAGTGTTTTTTTTTATTGTGTTCTGCCAAAACAACTGTTAAATAAATGTATGAGGTGTTTTGTTTGCATTTTACAGCGAAATTTTAATGCTCCCTGTTGATACAGACTGATTGGGCTAGGAACCAAAGTCCCCAGCATACTCTCCAAGCAGGTGCAAGGGTTCCTGTAGTGCCTCCTCGTTGTTTCTGCCGGCCAGCCCTGGGGCTGACAGATTGCATTGCTGCTCTGCCTCCATCCTTTTCCCCTGACCGGAGCCCACCTGTACAAGGGGGTTCCCTGTAACACAGACATGTGTCCTACAGCAGCATAAGTAAAGCTTTACTTGCTTCATGTGTCGCTAGAGAAAGTCTGGAAGAGCCATTTACTACTTTGCTTCACATGCTGTAGCCTTTGTGCCTTTAGTGACCCTCATAAGTCCCTGAAGCAATGTATTTCTCCTCTGTACACTGGAAACATTTTATTATATTAAGATAGCTGTCTGGGAGACTCACACCAGGGTTACCAGTCGCTAGTCCAGAAGAGAACAACTTGCATACCTGTTGCTCATCAAAGTCGCACCAGGGTTACCAGTCACTAGTGCAGAAGAGACTTGCATACCTGTTGCTCATCAAAGTCACGGGATATGCAGCAAAAGGAGCAGCCAGTGGGTACTTTTAGGGAGGCAGAATTTTTTATGTGCAGCAGAGAATTTAAATGCAAATACAATAAAAAATAAAACCCAGCAACATAATGGAGCCCAGGATTGCTAGTGCAATGGAAACTTAACAGGCCGAATATTGGAAACAACAGCCCTCGCATCCCAAGTTAGAAGTTCTTATTATGCATCTTGTTTAAATGATCTAAAACAGGAGTTCACAAAGGGAAGCCTTGGAGCCCATGCAAACTGCACAACATTTATGTCCCATGGAGGGATTTTTCCATACCTTTCTATGGTGAGTGTGGAGTACTGCGCTGCACATGGATGCCATGATGGATCCCCAGGCTCAGGAGGTTTCTCTGTGAAGGAAAGGATAGGAAGCACTGCTCGGCTGCTCGGGAGGTGCTGTACAGGCCTCATTTGCTCTGCTGATTCACTCAGATTTTTTTACTGCTTTAACTTGCATAGATTAAAATACATGCTGAATAAGGGGCAGCAAAGGAAAATACTTTGGAGGTACAGCCTGGCTGAAAAGCCAGCTGTTCTAGGTAGTGCATTTCTGGTAAAAACAGGTACAGTTGTTTTTTGTTTCCCGCTGCTGAAGAGGAGTGGGGCTGTGGGGGATGTGCAGACTACACACAGGAACAAACAGCCTCCCGTATATTGCTAGAGGCCTGGCAGCTCCCTGGTCCTTGTGTTACCCTTCTGCCAGGAGTGAGCGTGGGGAGCTCCCTTCATCACACGCAGCATGGCGAGCACCTTGCCCCACAGCTTGAAGGCAGGTTACCCCGACCCCCTACACGTGCGTCCCACTTGGCAGCCTCCTGACTCCTCCAGGAGTGTGGCATCCAGGGATTGCGTTGTGGGTCTTGCCCAGGGCAGCAGGATAGCCCTGGCCCCCAGGGAAGAGCCCTTGCCCTCTTGAGCCATCGCGCTGCGGCTCTGACAACTTGAGCCCAGAATCTGATGCTCAGAATCTGACTGCAAACAGGGAGAATCGCTGATGTGTCTGCTTTTATTTTTGGTTTAATGTTTTCACATTGTCATTGCCTTGTGATTCTTTTTAAAGTCATTTTACTTTTGATCTGAGAAAACTGAGTTTCTCAGTCTCAACTACCTAGCTACATGGCTATGGCAGGTAGATGCTGTCAGCGGGCTGGGGAAGTTGTTAGGAGCAAGTGTGACGCTGTAGCTCCAACTGGTCGTCTCACCCCAGCAGAGTTAAGTCAGGCTGGTCCTTTCCCCTTCCCTTCTGAGAGCAGCGGTGCCTTTGCACATCCTGGTGAAATATTTTGCATAATTTTAAGAACAGTCTTTGGCTATCTGATGCAAAACTTATTGGTTAGTATTGCAGTGCTGTCACCTTGCTGGCGGTGGCCTATGTGTTAGTAAACAACTAGCAAAAGAAAAACAAGATCTAAAAAGATGCAAACACAATATCTGCAGAGTTCTTGTCTCCTGAATAATAAGCATCACTCTTCTGTGTTTCTGCCTTAGTATTCTCTGGGTATTTGTCAGCCTTTGCTGTGCTACATCTAATTTGCAAGCTAATCTCTACCAGGAAAAGGACCTGCAAAATTTGTTTGCCTAGGTACTATGTCTGCTCACTTTAAGTTTTGAAATGAATATTGAAAAAGAAACAGCCTGGTCAAAGATAGGAGCCTCTAACTGCTCGTCCCGTTATCCCTACGTCCAGCTGTCCTTTTTCAGTCCTCCTCTAATAATGACTGTTAATTTTGTGGAATGGAGCAGAAGCCTCCTCAGAGCAGGGCAGCAGCTTGCACACTGGCTCCAACATGCAGCTGAGTGTAGATGTGTTAATAAGCAAAATCCTAGTTCATTAATTAATTTGCATCATCACGTAGTCCTGTGCTTCTTATAAAGAGCTTGGTCCACCAGATTTTCATTTTCAGTGCTTCCTAAATAAAACGATTGTAGTAGATAATTTTGTTTGGGGCGCAACTCAGTGAAGTTAATGACTAAGCGCGTCTAGAATTTCCCTAAGCAAAGTGAATTCAAATGAGTGATATTTATCAATGGTTTTATTGCCTCTCTTCCCTAGTCCTCCTCTGCTGGAAGTGCAGACTAGCTGGTATTATGCTGATGCTGTGATTAGCAGAATATTCTTTCCAGAAGATAGGTTCATCAATCTAGATTTATTTGAATCTCTAGCGTATAGTGCCAAACAGTTATTTGATTTTTAGAAGTAATATTGCTAATACAAGAAATCAGGAAACATCCTTCATAGTTCAGGCAGCTAAAGTAAAAACTAAATTAGAAACCATATCTTAATTGACCAACGCCTCTTAACTGGTATGAGTTGGCATCCCTCAAAATGTGGAATTTTCCATCTTTTGATTGCGTGTTTTTTTTCAATTGTGCTTATTACTGCCTTACCACTAAGCAATTTTTGATACCTCATAGTCCACCTATAACTGCTCACCATTACGGCTTTCTGTCAGAACCCAACTAATTCTGAAAATCGGGTTCCTGAGCATCATCAGCCAGCAACCCTTGTTAAAATCTGCAAATTTTCTCTCCAGACACTGGCTACTCTTTGCTCTTTCTTGTAGTTACATGAAATGTATAGAATGTTCCTCTTAACTTAGATATTGCGTTTTTAGTCCTCATATATGTAGTGATAATCATGAAAATATTAACCACATTTCAAGTATCATACCTTATTTACTTGCACGTGCAGACTACTTGAAACAGTATCTGTAACAAGTCTGATGGAGATAAAGGCATTTCAGAGGACCTAGGATCCTCCTCTTACTTTTCAAGTCTCCCATCAGGGATTTTCCTAAGCTTCTGCATGCTTGCCACAAAATTTGTGTTTTGCCATACTTTTTAAATGTTGCTTTGTGTTTTCGAGCTACTGGAATATGGTGCTGTAGTTCTTGCGTTACTGAAGAAATACTGAGGTTATATTATGTGCCTAAAAAGCAAGCTCACCATCTAAGACATAAAAATGCATTTAGGGCATGCAGAAAACTTCATCTCTGCCCTGTAGCAGGGAAATGAAGTAGAATTGCTTATTAATTCTCTCAACCTCAGTTAATTCTAAGAAATTCAGAAAGAAAGTATATACATCATGGATAAAAATTATGTATCTGCTTTTAAATTGTGGATTTCGACCTATAAGTATGCACAGGTACTTTAATCAGTCACAACGTGACTACAGTTTTTAAAGGGCTCTTTTTGATTCCGCAGATATTGCTGAAGGTAGCTGTTAAATTAAAGTGTAATAGAAGTGCTGCAACTTTTCAATCAGATTATCTACAGCAGAGAGGCTGTGGCAATACACAACCTTCTGTGGCGCAAGGACCATGGTACTTCAAAATTTTAAAAAAGAAGTACTATATTAATATTGCTCTGCTGGGGCAACTTTTGCTTTCTCTTCCATATTTAAGAAGGACCAGAATATATCTCTGTACAGAATGGCCCAAGTCTGCCATTCTAGCGGTATATCCATAATTCGATTGTGGAAATGAGGAGGTAAATTCCTCGAGCCTTCTTTAAGCCTGTGGCAGCTGTACTGCCGTGTGCGCGTGCGCCATTCCAGGCGGTCCAGGAACGGGCATAATTTGTTTTCATTTATTTCACCCACAGTGAATACTTGCTGCCAACTGAAATCATTTCAGCAAGATGCAGCATTTAAAGTGGTTTTAATAATTCTACTTTGAACAACTGGAAGAGTAATTCCATTTCTGATTACTCCAACATTGCAAAACTCAGCAAAAATTCAAAACCTATCAATTTAAGTACTTTCCAAGCAGGGACACGGTTGAGTGTAGCCTTCTTCCAGCTTCTCCTCTCATGCAGTAGAGTTTGGGCTGCATGCATTCCCTCTGTGCCCTGGTTACTTTAAAAGAGGGGATGCTATTCCAAGTACAGATGAGAATAATGCGAGCACATTTAGTAGCAGTCTGTGGCCATTACAGAGAGTTTAAATGTCAGCGCGGTCTTGAACCTCCCCTCCACACGTTTCCCTGATATACACGGTGCATCATCTCAGGCTGCCTTAGCAGGGTGGCCAGGAGGAAACCAGAGTCCGCCAGGTCTCTCTGCTCTGCATGAGCAAGACGCGGTTCTCCACTGCCCTGAGGCTCAAGCACAGCTACGTTCCGCTGTGCCTTGGTCTCAAAACAAGTGTTTGCTCCATTAAACTGGCACTTTTGCTGCATTGCAGTCATGTCAATGAGGCTACTTCACTGCGAGCTGAAGTCAGAATGACTCTTGGGAGGGCCGATGCTGCATCAGCAGGCATGGCAGGACGGGGGCAGGCGCTGCGGGCTGGGGTGTGCGCACGCTGCCTGCAGGCCTCTGCGCGCAGCGCTTCGGTGCTGGGCTGCATCCAACAACAGAGACGCAGGGCAGGGGCACCACCTAGGCCAACAAGTGCTCGGGGTTTCTGCTCTTGGTACCCCAATTATCTAAGTAAAAATATGCACAGACTCTTATTTGAATAGCGTTCATGTGATTCAGGTAATTATCATTATTCTCAGCTGGTGTTACTGCACAGTTAAGTCCTTACCCCCATAAAATAAGATAGTGGGTACTGTAGGTATCTGCGTCGGGTGAAGAGTTCAGAGGTGTAGCTGTTTTTTTTTTTTCTAAACAAGTAACGTGTTAGTATGGTAAGTCTATTTGATTTTCCTCAAACCTTTTTGTCGTGTTGTCTGTAACATCAGTGATGCTGCCATTCTGCACAACAGCACGTTTTTTCAGGTAATCAACATTAGACTGATCAGTGGGCTAAGAAGTGCTCCTAAGCTAGAATAAGAACTTTCTTCTAGTCTGTTTTCAAGAAACTCCTTCCTTCCTGCAGAATGTGTGACATTTTTACTGTCATTTTCACCAACTGCCTTCTCTTCTTACTTCCGTTGTAGTGTTTCAACAAAAGGCCACTAGATCACCCAGTGACCAAGATAAGCTGTATTGCAATGCCAGGAAGCAAGGTACAGAATTTCATCTGGCTCTTTTAGCTACTTTGATGCTCCTCAGTACAACTAGTAGAGCTTTGCTGGAATTCTTCATTAATTTAGAATCTGTTTTTCTGTATGTATGTGGTTAATATCCATAATGCTATGGCAGCATTAAGAGATCAGATAAAAGAAAAAGATGGCAGGCCAACCGTCATGTGAGTTTCAGAACGTGTCAAAAATTTGCTACTGTAAATTCCATTAATTGGCTCCTAAAAATAAATTGCAATAGAAACAGTATCACTTTAACAAGTAGCAGATGAGGATTAAAGTGCACAAAGCAGCATGCAATTGCCTGATTAGTCCTGTATTCAGCCACTGCAACCTCTGGTGTTGCTGACATTGTTTTCCATTAATGATAAGTCATTTAGGAAAAGAATTAGGGCCTTCTAGAGTTTACTGTAATAATGGATTGTTGCTAGTACACCTCTACAAAATGTATATGTACATTTTTAGAGGGAGGGGGAGAGAGAGAGAGAGCACTAACATAAAATAGTTCTGTTCCTAAGAGTCTGAGGTATAATAGTTCCTAAGAGTCTGAGGAAGCCTCACTATCCTTTTGCTGGTATAAAAAAAGCAATTTTTCATAAACCAATCTTCTCTCCAAATAATTATGTCAGATGTAAAGCATTAGTTCCTTGCTGTCAAGACATAAATGATGAGCTGAGATGCAAAAGGGATGAGATTCATGTCTAGTGTCTTCAGCATTTCATATGCTGAAGATATTCCCCTTTGCACAATCTTCCCTTGCTTAAGACACCCTCCCTGTGCATAACCAAGCAGGGAAACCAACCCAACCAATAACTATGGCTCCAAGGCTTGGGTACAGCCCCCGGTACTTTGTGTACTCTTGCTCCTTATACAAGGGCTGGGAAGGTCCTGTTTCGTGGTTGCTGGAGCTGTATGGTGCTGCACTTCTTAGCACCAAGTTGTGCTGAACCCCTGTCCCTTTCCTTCAGTTACAATACACCAGCATTGTAACTTGCAAGAGAAATGGGTTCTAATAACAGGTTCTTGTCACTACGATGTAACTAATGATCATAGGTGGAAAAAAATAAATTAATGGCAAGCTATATAATGGCTTCCAACCAGATTGCACCCTGGCTGTTTAAAACTGGAAGGAAAACAGCATTGTGGAAGTTTGTGCATTAACAGGCCAAGGAGTTCCTTTAAAATGTCACTACTGTAGCTTTAGCCTTAGAAGTTTTTATGTTAACTGACACTAATTGGAAAATGTATGGATCAGGGAATGGCAATTAATGAAATGTTAAAGAAGCTGCCGGAGAGCGCTGGTGGATAGCTCACTGGTTCGTTGCATAGCTCCCGTTGGGAACAAACAAACAGAACCATGCATGTGAGAGACCATCTATTTTAATTGAAAATGGTTCATAAAAATCTCAGCGTAACTTTTTTTGAACAAAGCACTTGCACCATAAAGAAAAATAAATGAAAAGAGTTAATGTTTCCTGCCTTCATCTGGTCACATTTCATAGCAGCACCCAGAGGCTACACGGACATGGTGACTTACAGCACTTTGCAACACAGCATCCCACCTGAACAAGATCATCTGATCCATTTGCAGGAAAAGGTGAAAAAGGGGGCAATTTCTGTGGATGAAGCACTTGAAAGATTTAGACAATGGCAGAATGAAAAAAGCCGACTCCCCTCTACTCAGCAGGTGGGAGACCAAATGTTCACTGTCTCTTGAGCAGAAGTTTCAAAAACGCGCTCTTCATTTTGACCCCTGTATATGAATGAGGTCTCAAATACATGTCCTGAGTCAGAATGCCATGATTTATGTGCCCATTAGCTCCTCCCAAACTTGCTGCTTCAGCTGTGGAGCCAATTAGGTACCTCTCTGTGCTATTTGAATATCTGAGAGTCTTCCTGATTTTTTTGTTTTTGCCAGACTTCAGGTGCTGGTGCATTTGGTTAAAAGCTCTGCTTAAAGATGTTGGTCTGCTAAGACTTTTGTTCTAAACTGCTCAAGTCCGTGCTTCTTCTGTGAAGCCGTAGCTGAGCAGACTGAACAGCTTGTTGAAAAGTACCAGCTAATGGAAGCGAAACTACTTCAAATTTGCATTGTTAATATATATTGACTAGTATATGACTGAAGCCTATCTCAAAGAGTTCAACCTGTGCAGCGAAATTCACAGTTCTCAGAAACACACTTGAGCTCTTTTTGTGCAATACACAGAGTGAATTAAGGTGCACAAAGCCTGGACCTACAGAAGTCCCCAGACTGAGTTCACTGAAAGAAGTGTGTCAAAGCTAGATGTGGCTGAGGAGAAAGACCAGGTTGATAACTACTTCCAACGTGATCACTGAAGGCCGAGATCATGCCCTTATTTTAAATTAGATCATATATTAAGTAAAAAATATTTGTATTGTGCTGTGAGTGCATCTAATAGAAAGAGGAAGGCCATGGTTAGTGTCTGGTCCTGCAGAACAGGAGAGCTGTCAGACGCTGCTGCCCAGGGAGGGTGCGATGCCCTCTGTGTCACAGCTCCTGGTTAGCGAGCGCGCTCGCGTTGCCGCACAGCGGGGCAGCACGCGCAGGAGCTCAGGCGCAGGGTGCCCAGGGCACGCGAGGACGGTGGCCGCGCCGAGCGCGCAGTGGGGCAGCGCCGGCACTGCTCTGCGCGCGGCCGCCTGTGCGGAGCGCCGTGCGCCTGCTCTGTGCCACGCTCACACAAGGATTTACTGCTTACGGGAAAAAGCCACTTTCTAGGGATTACTTATATTCTGAACTAGAGAAGTCTTTCACTGCTACTCCACAGTTATGAATTTAATGTCATACTATCACAGCAGTAATTTAGTCTTCACAGGAAGCTTGAGTAAAAGTCACTTGTACAAAATGAAAAATGAAGCCCTCTAAGACTCAGTGATCCTATCCCCAAAAACAAAAGGCCTGAAATCAGTCCTAGCGTAAGTGCCTGTGTAGTCCAGTTCCAGAATGGACATAACTTACTGTTGGAAAAAACTCCACAAGGCTTCTTAGATATAAATGCTAAAATTAGAATCCATTTGTAAAGCAATATAGAGATTTTTTTTAAATTCCCTTTAAGAAATTAAAATCTTTTAAATTACAAATTTGTCTTTTATTTTCCTGCATACAGAAGCTTGGTATTCAGAATTTAAAAATGCAGTATTTTTGTATTCATTCATTTATTATTTCTATAGTAAGCCTTAATTACTGAGTTGTGCTGCTTTTATGCTTGCTTTTTAACTTAAAGGAAAAAGTACGTTCCCTTAGAGAAAACAACGTTGGAAACAGACTGGAAAAGGAAAATGTGACTGGTAAGGTACACTTTGCCTTTCAAATCATTGGAGACTTGAACTGTAAAGAAAGATACTGCAACAGCCTGCTGCACAGTATTAAACAGTTTTAGATTAGGAACTGGATTGGTAATGAGCATTTTGAGAGTGAGAGAGAGAAATAGAGAGGGGTTTTGTGTTTAAAGTCAGGTCTTTAAGGTCAAGATTTAATCCCAAAAGTTGAGCTCAGTGAGAGTTAATGGGGCAGAAAATTTACCAATTCCTGATGATTCAGCTTTCGTGTAGCCACTGTTTCCTGGTGCTTTGCTATAACTAGAATAAATCATTTATTTAGAACAATCACATTTATTAATTCAATATTTTTAAACCAGCTACCAATTTGCACTTCTAAATTCTTGACAAACTTTCCACTGCTACAGCAATTTAGTATTGTGATTCATTAATAAAAGCTGTAAGAGTGGTCATTTAAGATGTCTTTTCCCTTTTGGGATTGGATGTCTTCTTCAGTAAAAATCACCTATATTTCATACAAATCATTTTCTCTCGTAATTATGAAAACATTGTATTAGATGGTCTTCACTTTGAACGTAAGGTTTCTGTAAACATCAATACATAACAGTTCTTGGAAGTGAAATATAGCGTTTCTTTTTTCATGTTGGACTTAGGTGATAATTAAAAATAGAAATTTATATTGATGATACTAAGTTATTTCCTTACCATAATAGAGAAGAATAATCCCCAGCATAGCTTTCATTATTCCATTAGACTATTGCTGCATTTATGTAGACTTATAGCATTCAGTCAGTATCTCTTTACTGAAAATGTTTTAAAATATCTTTTTGCTGAATCAGTGACTGAAGTACCAGATAAAAACCTAAACACTAATAGCACGCACTGCATACTGTCCCTCTCAACTGGATTTGATAGGTGTAAGGGTAGCTGTTTTAAGTTTTGGCTTTAAGATTCTCCTTAGCATACAAATGCACACAGTTTAGACTACAGTATTTTTGGAACAAAGCTGAATACGAAGGGACGAAATCATATATTCTTTCTGAAACGTATTTAAAAAGCAATCTTGTGCCCTTGTGTAAGGTTAAAAAAAAAAAAAAAAAAGTTACAAATAATTACTGCAGCAGTGGGTTCCCCAGCCCCTTCTGATGGGCAGGATCACCAAAATCACCACTTCCCCAGAAGCTGAGTGTTAGTAGCTGGTGAGTTTGTGCTTCAGCCTTGCTTCTCCCACCAATCCCCTGTGACAATGGCCTGGCCTGTGCAGAAATGTATTTGTCATCACCACGTCCTTCCCTCGAGGGAGATGCCAGATTATTTATATCTGAGCCTTACGCTGCTCCATAGCTGGTACCGGCTGAGCTCCCGCACTGCCTGTGTTCCTGAGCATGGGTTTGCTGTGAGCAAGGCCGAGCTCAGCACAACACGAGGGTGATTCTTGGAAAGCTGGAATCTGGCTGGGGGGGGTCATTTTTGTTCTTAAGACTGCATCAGTCCTGGCTCTGCATCTCTCCTCTATCTCCAGAGTTCAGTTAACGAGTCATACCAGCCAGGTCAACAGAAAGGTAATATCAACGAGAGACCTTAGGCTTTGTGAAACAGGCAGGCTCTCGTATTCCCCAGTAACTCAGATAATGATCACAATGTTCCCTTCTGATCCTAGCCTCTCTGCCCCTCGTTATGCTACCTTCTCTCTCAGCGTACATTTACATCAGCTGCTTTGCACTATAGAAATACAAGAAGAAGATTCATTTGGAGGCCCCTCTCCTACCTAAGAGTGCATTAGTTACCAAAGATTTCAATTTTTGAAAATAAGAACTTTTAAAAGATAAACTTCCCGTGAGGATGGAGGCACCCTAATGGCAACAGCAGTACCTAAATCCAGATGTAAATAGACAATTGTA